GACATTTCATCCACTAATTATTTAACAAAAACACTACAAGATACCATCAGTACAATTGACACATATACAAACATTCAGAGCTATGACCATTCCTGATTAACATAATAACTATGGGAATCCACAAAAGAAAGCAGTTAATCATTATTAATGCTATGCAGAATTGTCTTTGAAACAGAATGGCATAATGTCATTAGCGTTAGCATTTAAAATCCTCATATAAAATATACAAAAATAGATTAAGTATCATCAGATCTCATTAATCTATAATTCATATTCTTTTTTCCATCTCCCAAAAGCATAAAACTTCAAGAATCTATTGCTTTTTAGCTTTGAATGTACTAATTCCTTTTTCATTTTCATTTGTATAACCCCTTCAACTCCGGAAGCATGTGTTAAAGATTAGATATCAAAGAAAAATGCAACTGATTGAGATAATTGTAGATTTCTGACTACAGTGTAATACATTTAATTGTCAAACCTCATTTTTGCATTACACTACTCAGTAACCATAAAAAAGCTATTCAATCCATTCCATCTGCAAGATGAGAACAAATAAATATAAATTACTATGCAGAAATACATGCATTCTTATAAAAATTCTTTTAAGATTACAAATAAGATAACATAAGCACCTTGAAATTGATACACAAATTCTATTTGTCAAACCTCACTTTTGCATTACACTACTCAGTAACCATACATGCATTCTTATGAAAAAAAAAATTAAGATTACACAAAAGATGACATAAGCACCTTGATTCACAAATTCTAACTATTGCCCAAAGCTTTTTCCACTCTCTTATATTGGCTTTTTCCTATCCAACAGAACTACAAAGTTGTCACTATCCTACATCTTCACATGCCATGAATGAAATAGTGAGAGAGTGATCAAGGCACCAGTGATATTTTTAATCTGCAAGTATAAGCTCCCTTAAATAGATAATTTCAGGTGTCTTAAAGTTAACACAATACATAGGGATAATCCAATTATACTTACAGTGTGGCTGGAATAAAAAACCAGACACCTGCCTTGTTCTTCGTATTAAAATATTATCTTACAGTCTTCTTAAGTACCCATATTTCTCTGTAACAAAAAAGGTAAGGCAAAAAGAAACATAATTTTGCTAAACAAATATTGTCTATGGTTTAACAAAAGCAAAAATTAAACTGAAGAAAAACCCTTAAATATACATTTTTTTCAAAAGGTACTCTCCATCTTTCAGATTTTCTAAATTTTTGCATATCTTTCCCACTGAACATTTGCAGAGTTTCGTGTAAATCTTTCTGAAATATAAAGGAGAGTAAATAAATAAAATCAAAGTTTGATGTTTATTTAATTTGTTTCATCATCCAATATGTCATGTGCCAATATGAAAAAGGATTTACCCTCTTAGATTCAATAACTTTTAGCTGCAATAACTATAACCAATAGCTTCCTGTATTATGTGATCAGTCTATCACCTTGCTGTGTAAGAATTATGGCCCATTTCTCCCAGGCAAACTGGTTCAACTGTAACATCTGACACTTTTTCTGGCATAAACCATTCATTTTAGATCCTGCTGCAATCTTTCTATGGGATTTAGGTCTAGACCTTGAGCTGGCCATTCCAAAACACTGTATTTGTTCTTCTTTATCAAATCTCTTGTTTGTATGTTTGGGATCATGGCTGTGTGACCTACTTGGACTTCACCTTATGGGCAATGAGGGCACATTATCCAGGTCCTGAAGCAACAAAACATCCCCAACTAAGGCACTCTTACTCTCATGCTTGACAGTTGGTATGAGGTTGTTACTGTGGAACACAGGGTTTGGCTTTTGCAATAATACCAAACAATACCAACACAGCCTGAAATGTTCCACTTTTGGATCATCTGTTTACAGAACATTCCTCCAGAAGTCTGGAGGATCATCCTGGCCAACTGTGAGATGAGGACTATTGTTCTTAGTGAGCCATGGCTTTTGTCTTGCTACTATCCCAAGAATCCCATTTTTACCCAGTATTTTTCTAATGGCAAAGTCATGCTGTATTTAGACAAGGCAAAAATGTTGTCTGGTGTTTTAGGTTCTTTGTGTTTACCTTGATAATTTTATGTTGCACTCTTGAAGTGACTGACAGAACAGCCACTTTGGGAAGATTCATTATTGTCCTAAATTTGCCCCATTTTAAGATGATGTCTCTGATTGTGGAGTGGTAGAGATCCTGAATTTTATAAATGATTTAATAATCTTTTCCAGATTAACAAGAATCAATTACTTTTCTACAGGGGTCTTTAGAAGTTCCTTTTAAATGAGACATGACTTGTCCCTACTATCTGGTAATAACATTATTGTGTTGAGGGGAACCAAAGTTCATGACATTTATATAGGGCAGGGTTCACCCAATGGTGTCAGCCTTGCAAGGTAGTCCAGACAGGAAGCACTCCCAAATCAACTAATTCTACTTTATTGTAAGGTTACATTAACAGAATCTTGCAAGTATGAAAGTACATTCCCCCCCCCCATCATCTTTACAACCCAAGAAATTAGGGAGGGTCCCTTCTGAGACATTTGCCATGCCCACATTCCTGCTGCGGGCTAATATGACTCTTACCCAACCATTCCCCTGGCTATGGCTCTTCCCCGTCTCCCAAGGTCATTCCCACATAACATTGCATCTGGTCCTATTTATTTCATTAATTAAACTGATTGAACTGGGGGGGATTACTTCTATACACTGGCACATAGTCTGTTGGATGATTTTGTTTATGAGGTAAAAAAGACAAGTACAAACATTGGTGCTATTTTTTAATTCTGACTCCTTTTATATATCACTAAAACCCACATGAAGTTCTGAAAACTTTAAGTGTCAAAGATATGCAAAAACTCAGCAAATTCAAAAGATGAGGGCAGTAATTCTTCAGCACAATTACATATTGATGAAATCCTACTGATAACAAAGATTTTTGCTTTGAAGTGAATACATATAAATATAGCCTAACTATAAAAATTCAGTCTAATATATAAGGATGTACAATAAAAATATATATTTGATTTTTTAATATACAATAATAAATGTTAAACAACTGAAGGATACTACAATCTTTAAAGTTGTAGTTACTTTAGGGAACTAACTTGTTGCTTTTAATGGAATCAAAGGGTAACATTACTCATTCATGAAATGATAAGAACTATTGATGTTAAGTGACATCAGTTACTCTTTTTAACATTTTAATAGCTATATTAATTGAGTCACTGAGTAAAAAATTAAAACATAGGGCTACAGCACTATAGATGTTAACTAGACTCCAGTATTATAAATCTAATACTTTTAAAAAGCCAACTAACACAACAATTTGGAAAAATTAGCAAATGCACATACTGACCCTAATGATATTAATTATGCACTTTATATGCATTTATTTTTGTATTTGCTATAAATATTTTTTAACATTCAGCATCACTTGCTTCCAAATATGACCAAAATCAGTCTGTTCCAGTCTAGACAGAACATTTTAAGATTACCCTATTTAGTAAAATGCATTAAAATATTATTAGAAATGGCTGATGAAGTCACTTCCCTTTCACTATTTAAATATAGATTAAACTATTTATAAAGGCACATAACTATAAAGTATGTCCAAAAATAAGTTAACTGGCACACAGAGCATATGGCAGTCCTTTCTCAGGCTTTACTTCAAACCAGAGAGGGCAGCATTGGTCACCCACAAACCCATTAACATCCACTCCATACTCCTTTAAATACTGAAGAAATAAACAAACAAACCTCCTTCAAGGGAAAGCTATAACTAATTTTCAAAGCACCCCACCTTCCTCCAGACAATAAAAAGGGAAAGAAAGGGGCATGTCTCACTGAAGAAAGAAATGGCTTTTGTTATTCTGGGTATAATTGATGGGGCAGAAAAAGCAAAGGTAAAAAGGGAAAGCAGGAGAAATGGGTGACACGTGGGGCAATTCATTCAATAAGGAGTTGGGACTAGAGAGGAGACGCGCTATCACGGAATAGCAGGTGGTGCTACTGAGAAGCGAAGTCACGGAGGCGAGCGGTGGCTTTTCAACTCCACACGGGAGCCAAGGGCAAGGAGAACGGAGAGCACCTGCGTGATGCCAACGGGCGATCCTCCCCCATTCCGGGTGAGTATCGGGGAAACTTTCCCCAGGGCTCCCAAGGAGGCCCTGCGAGCGGAGGAAGGGAGAGGCGGAGGACCGCCGACAGCCTCCCCCCCCCCCGGTCGCCCCTTTCTAGGCGCGGCTCTCATCCCCATCCTCCCTCACCCTTGGGAAGAGCCGCGCACTTGGCTTGAATTTCGTCGTGTGGACGCCTCCAAGGCCGGGCGAATCCCTGCCCTGCCGCTTCCCTCCACTCACCCTTATCCCGTGGCTGCCGGAGCTGGCGGCGGCGGGGATGATGGAGGAGGAGAGGCAACGGCCGGTTCGTCTTCCTTCCCTCCCTCCTGTCAAGTGGCGCCCGTTCCCCACCCTCCCGACGTTGCGTTGACAGGACCCGCCCATCACACACACAGCCGGGCACCGTCTCTCCTCTCACCTGGGTCCTTCTGCCCCTTTGGTAATAGGGGCGCGGGAAGGCGGGCGAGCGGGCGGGCGCGGGAAACGGGAAAGGCGGCGAGCCTTTGCTTGGCCCGAGATAACCTCGGTTTACAGTCGCGTCCGCACGCGCGCCCCTTTTCCCTGCTTCTTTGTCTCCGACCTCGCGCTCTTGCCCGCCCGCCCGCGCGCCCGCTTCAAAGTTGAAACGAAAGAACAAAGGAGGCCGTGCCATTCCTCCTAGAGAATGTGGTTTATTGCACTTGCGCCATCGCTGCACGTGGCGCTTTATGCCGGAATACAAGCAGAAGCCCCGCTCCGCCGAGCAGTTTGCCGGCGAAATGGATCCGGCAATGCCCAGGGGGAGGTGAGGGTGGAGAACAGTGCGACCAAATCTTACATTTTTATTCCACCCTGCCTTTGAAGTGCTGATCCCTCGTACCCAGCCCCGTAATCCCAGCAATCCCGTGAAGTGGGTAAATAATCTGCCCAATTTATTTTTCGAGATTATGTCAGAAGCAGAATTAAACAGGACCAATGAAACATTGGCCGCTTCTCAAGCTGGCTACCCGTCTTCCTAAATTTGACATTAGATGGTTTTTCAGGTTTTAAAATGCCAGAATAGGTTACTCTCTGGTTGATTTTCAAATGATTACGTTAGGTGTGTAGGGATTCCTGACCCTTTAACTCTAAGGTCTTGTTAAGAGTCATTGGAAAACATGGCAGTTAATATTCCTGCTACTAATACAAAAGAAAGTCTATGAGTCAAGGACAAGAGTCTCAGGAGAAAGGTACACAGTCCTTGTTGAGCAACTGCCTCAGACAGCGACTGTTCGCAGTTACAATGGTGATGAAAAAGTAACCAATCCTCACATTTACGACCTTTCCAGGTCTGTAAAGCAAAGGAAAGGTGAACTAAGATCATAAGCAAAGACACGGTTCACCTCATGACTGCTTCGCTTAATGACTGAGTTGCAGGTCTCAATTGTGGTCACTAAACGAGGACTACTATATGAGAAGTAACCCTCTTCCTGGGACAAAGCACATGGAGAAACATTTCAACTATTTTTTCCACAGACTCTGCATTGAAATACCTTCTTTTTTGTTCTGAATATAAAGAAGAATGTAAAAGTTGACATTATGACCAGCATTGTTGTTTTTGGGATGCTCTGTATTTTGGAGTCCTTGATGAAACTATGAGTCTGTCCATGTGTTGTGAGATTTCATTGGGTCTTCTGACTGCTAGTTGTTCATGGATGCACTGTGCTAGTCTTCTGCCTGTCTGTCCTACATAGTGGCTGTTTCAGTCCTTACACTGTATGCTGTAGATGACTCCTGTTTTTTTCTTCTTGGGCTACTGGGTCTTTTGGTTTATTTAAGAAGTTTTGGAGGGCTTTAGTTGATTTGTGTGCTACAGTCAACTGGGAAACTGTGAGCACTCTGAACCAAGCTAACTCCAAAGACAGCTAGGGTACTCCTGGAAGCTTGGTATTCAGACAAATCAGCCATCAACAGACACATAGAGATAAATCACATTTACACAGCATTCAAAAGAAACAATACAAAAACTAAGAAGGAAACAAAAAACCAAACACATCCTTTCCAGCGCCCATACCGAAATAAGCAGGGATTAACACCAGACAAATCAAGCAGAAAACAATACCCTAATCAAGGAACCACCAAGGAGAAAACCACACTCCCACCAACACTGCCAGGGCAAGCTACTGTATATAAACAGGGAGAAAACCCCACACTCACAGCACTGATGATGTTACCCAGTCGGGTAATGAAACATCTGCAAGCAAACAACCAAGCTCAGAGAACACCAGGGACTCCACAGTTCAACCCCGAGCTACAGATATTCTCTTCTATTGGCTCTGTATTTTGTCTGACTTTTCCAATTTCCTTTTGCTGCTTTTGCCCTTGGTGGTACCTGAGCTCAGCCGGGCTATAAAGTTCTGCGGATTCCAAAGAGTATAGAATAGATGATGCCATAAGGGTGCAAAGGACAGAACTTCCTGCAGGGAGGAACTGTATTACCTGCCATAAAAGCTGCACGTTGCATCTACTCCATGGCCTATAGCAATCAGTCGGGTGGTTGCCTAACAACCTGCAGGAAGTGGCAAATAGGGAAGTGTGCTCCTTCCGTTGTGCTTGTGTTTTCCCACTTGAAACTAAACCGTCAAGAGTGCATTTACCAACCACATATTCATATTTGGGCATTTTCATTTTTTCCAACCCAACGGAATGGTGGAAATAGATTATGTAAAAGGACTCAGGACTTGCTTGTGTCCCTCAGCCGATACCACTCTAAAAACTGTACAGGACCGGACCAGATTTGCTGTGTGATGAGAAAGCAGGGGGGAAAAGATCAGGGCTAGAAAATAGGGTGGGTCAGGCCAGGAGCTGTGAAGAAAATCTTCTCTCCCCCAGTGCATCCTTCTGGGAGAGGGAGTTAGCAGCAGCTTGTAACGCTGATGATCAAGCTAAGCCGCTCTCCTTCTCCCCCACCAGCTCTCTCCTGGTCACATGACTCACAGACTATATGCAGTCTGCCCTGTGCTTCCCAGGGTGCTCATATACACAGGCATAGGTGCAACATGGCAGAAGAGCAGAAACATGCAGAAACATATGAAGAGACAACATGTATGCCCCAACTCTTCAAAGACCCTGGAGAGAAAGTTTTGGCATCTCCCCCCCCCCCCCCCAAACACATGTCTTTGTTACATAGACACAGTATAGACACCTTCTTTGGCCACTGCTGGGAAAAGAGACAGAAAGAATTCCAGCAACCATGTTTTGCATGTTTTCTTTACCTTCTTTAAAATACAACATGCACTATAAGATGCAATCCAACAAAACTGTAATCTAAATTTATAACAAGAACATCAAGAAAAAAACATTGGTAAGCAAATGGAAGGAAAGGATGTTTACGGAATGTTTTCCTAACAAAAAAAAAAAATTAACAAAAGCAACACTACCAGGCATGTCATGTCATGGGGGACAGACTTTCATTTGTTCTCTGTGATTAACACAATAGATTTGAAATTTAGAAATATCAGTACATTTTAAAGTAATACATGTTAAATAATTGAGTGCTTACCAGCCTCTGTTGATATTAAGATTATACAATTCAGAGGGGACTTGTCCTATATTTTGTTATGGCTCCTTAGTATTATTTTTTGAAGTATGTTGGAGGAGAGGAATGACTTGATAAAACTGGAGGGTATCAAGGGGCCAAGCATGAATTGGAGCACACTGTCTAGCCTGTACTACTTCATTAAGCAAATGGGAGTGAAGGCAATGTGGAAGTCTTAAGTTAAAGAATAAGATGTTCCTCTTAAGACCACAGATGGAGGATGGTACCTATTTTGAATCTGTCTACCACATGAAACACTAGGTGTAAAAAGAGAACTAGGATATCAGGACAAGGCTGGTGCTACATCTGGCAGATTTCTGCAGCCTTCCTAGTAGACCCTTCATATGTGTCAGAGACAGGAAATGGCCTGTCCTGTATCTTCCAGTGGTACAGCTCTATCTTGGAGCAGAGCATCTGTGCATTAACAGTGCAGAAGTTAATGAAAGCTTCACAATGAGAAGCTCTGCTCTGAAGCCAGAGCAACCTCCCACACATTCCACAAAGGCGACGTGCCAGAAGCTTCATTTGGTATTGTGTTCCTTGTTTTTAAAGCAGGTGGATGCCAGCACACCACGTGGAAAAAAGATGATCTAGATCAGCGTGTTTCTCAACCTTGGCAACTTTAAGATGTGTGGATCAACTCCCAGAATTCCCCAGCCAGCATGATCTAGATGATTGCTGGCAATCACCATTTTAATTTCTCTATCTGGGCATTGCTCTGTAAGTAATCTCCTTCACAGATCCAGCGACCATGGATGGGTTTGCACAATATGGTTGTTTGGTTTTCACTTGTCATGTAGCATGAATCTAAACCATTTGGAAACTGTAATGTTTATAATTAGCATGTTTTGGAGATCCAGCTAATGCTGGTTTATTCTATAACTTAGCATATTGCATGAACCTTAGCACTGGGGTTTGCAAGGAGGGCAAATGGAGGCAAATAATGAAACATATATGAGTATGTCATCATGTAAATGATATTACTTATATCCTTGCATCTTTTCTCTTTTCCCTTAATCATGCATCAGCACATTAGCATCATCATGGTAGTTTGGAAACCATCATTTTCTAATTAGCATGTTGTGCAGATCCAGCCAAATGTGTTTTAATTAATAAACCATGTTTAAACAAGCCATGTCTGGATACAATGTGTGAACCCAGCTTGCAGGGGAGTTAAAATGATGAACTCTAGTGTAGCACTTGACCATTTTTAGCCAAGAAAAGGAAGTGCATTTTTGAAGCATTGACGAGTGATGGCAGGTCTGTATCAGAGAATAAGGTTTCTTCCCAATTTCCGATCTGCTACTTTTTTCTGCTTATTAAGATAGGGAACATCTATAAGAAGAAAATTTAATCTAAGATATCTCATCATGTTCCATGTTTATTGGCGTATTCACTTAACCGCATCAACTCTTTCAAAGGAATGACTGTAAAACTTTCACTGGTAGGATTCTTACAAGATATGGGGTCATGTAAAAAAGAATTCTCGAAAGTACATTAAATGTACACAATTAACAGTTAACCATAATAGTACATTGATTGGGTTCACACATTGTCTGCTAAACACAATCTGATTTGTTTAGTTTTGGCTTAATACAATATGTAAACTCAGTTATTAGTTATTCGACAAATCATTGTTAAGGAAACCATAGCTGAGCTCAGTCCATAGACCTGGTCTGTTAGAACGCAAAGCCATTTCAATATTTATAGAAATCAAAGTAAAGTTTCTATCTTTGGCTGAAACTGCCATTTTCTTTCCACAGGCTGATACCTACATTATATCATCTTTAGATAGGATGTGGAGAAATACATCTTCTTTTCAGGTACAAGTAGTCCTCGTTAGCAACCACAACTGAGACCTGCAAAAGGGTCATTAAGCAAAGCGGTCATTAAATGAGACTGTGCTTATGATCTTACTTCAGATTTCCTTTGCTTTACAGACCTGCAAAGGTCATAAATGCGAGGATAGGTTACTTTTTTATCAACCTCATAACCGTGAATGGTTGCTAAATGAGGCAGTCACTAAACGAGGACTACCTGTACTGTATTTCCTAGCCAGTGAGAAGGCAATCAATTCCCCAAGAAAAGAAGAATATCTGGGAATTATGCTTAGACTGTAAAGCAATTTTCTTTAAATATTTCCTGTCTGACTCCCAATCTTAGAATTGTAGTTTGCATTTAAAACATTACTGGGTTTAATCTCTCATTTTTTTATCTTCAGCCAGACCTTTTAAGTTGAGTTAATAATTACTTTAAGATAACAACTGGATAACTTTTACTTATTTACTTACTTACTTATCAAATTGTTAGACTAGAATTTTTGTAAATTAGTTTTATTCCATAGCATTCTTTCTAAACTGGTACTCTCCTGAAATTTTGGACTACAAATCCCATGAGCAGTAGCATGGTATGAGCAATAGCATAGCAGTAATAGGCCTACTCACTCTGGGCTGCAAACATCTGAACAACCACATAACTCTACTATGAATGATGGGAGTTGTAATGCAACATATCTGCACAGGGTTAGCTTTTAATTCTCTCTTTCTGATACAGTCCACAAAGCTACAATTTTCTATACTAACCCAGGAGATTCAAAGAAAAGGTGCCATTTTATTTTGTAATTTTTTTCTCGGTTTTTCCACATCATTTGCCAAGCCCATAGCTACTAGATCTGGGCTTCAAAGCTTCATATGACCATCAGATGGTTACATCTTTTTTCTGCTGTCCTGGGGTTATCCATTTTTTTGCAGCTTAGATCTGCTAGACCTTTACCAGCCTCACATATCAAGGGTAAAATATGAGTGATTATAGGAAACAAGTTAAAAGAAACTTTTGAATAAGTTAAAATATTCAATGTATATTTTATACCAGCCCAGTGTTCAGCATAAAGTAATAATTAATGCCATTGGACATATAGTGAAAGATTGTTCAGCAAGAGGGAAAAAAGTGAGAACATTGGACAGGCTTTGTGCTAAATAGCAAATATAAATTTGCATATAAAAATAGCATTTAATTAAGGCTGAAGAACACTCAGGGATGAGTTAAAAGGTAAAAACAAACACAGGCTGTTAAGAAAACTGATTTCTGGGACTTTCTTTCCAGAACATTATGAAATATTAAAGAATACCTTGTACTTGATTATTACAAGTCTTCAGAGTATGGTGTTCTGCTCAGCCCATATGAATAAGATTGTGTTAGCTTTTTTTCATGATCAAGTATATCGCATATAACAAAGAAATAGTCTGGTAAAAAATCATGGTTCCATTCTTTACATTATTACCCTGATATTTTATTTATTATGCAATGGATCAAGGATAAAATCTGTTAATCTGTGAACTGTAAGTAAAGCCTGAATTAGTTTTTGCATTTAGTGGAATGAATGAATCCCTTTATTATGATCTGTGATTTTCACTGTGTCTGGCTTGGAAACAGTGAAATTTAGTCTGCTGAGACTTCTGGAATTCAGCATTTGCAAGTGACCTATAAGATTGTTTCGAGAAGGTACATTTTTGCTCCTAATTTTCCTGCTAATAATAGCTGTATTGTACAGTCCTTATTTTGATAGTTGTGAAGAAGATTCTCCTCCCCCCTCCCCCAAATCCAAGTGAGCTTAAGTGGAAGGGTGGAATTATTAATAGTGAGCAGAATTCTCTTTGTCATTGGCAGCTGAGCAGGGACTGGATTGAATCCAGGCCTGTAAATCTAGGGTGGATGTTTAAAAGTAAACTCAGAGAGTTTATTACTGGGTTGCAAAATGATCATCTCTGTGTACTGTTATGGTTCATTGCAATTTGTGGCATTACCTGAGAGATTTGAAGTATACACAGTGAGCTGGGTGAATTATGTTTTTGGCAGCTCTGTGTGCATCTCATGTGATGTTTTGGCAGAGGCTATATTTGGTGCTCAGGAAGAAACTGCCTAGACAACTCCTGGGGCTGTTTTATGGGGTTTAGTTGGCTTATCCATTCTCCACTGCCTCATGCTACAAGTACATCAAAGGCATACCAGAACTTATCTGCCTTTGCTAATATAATATTGAAACATTCTAGGACATGCATAATGGTTTCTGTATTTAGAAGGAATATTGCTCAGATATTCTGGTAGACGTTTACAGAAATAGTGAGGAACATATCTGGCTCTTTTGTGTCTTCTGTCTCTGCTCCAGGTTGCGGTTTCTTGGACCAGATTTCTTGGGTAGAGAAAAAGATGCCTGATGTACCTCAGTCTTCCTTGTAGTAGTAAGTTCTCCATGTCCAGTGCCATAACTGTGTTCTTACTAGAGATGGTATATGTACTCCTGACTCCATTTATTGTACTGATGGTTCCTTTTCATTCACCGGTGGAGAGGAAAGAGTCAGGTTTATCTACTTCTCCAGCTTGACTAAAGTGTGGTTTCAGTTGTTTCAATTTATTTTCCTGCTTTTGTTTACTATTAAACAAATGTTAAACAAAATTTGTGTAATTTATGCTTGGGAAATGTGCCCCAGTTAGAAAAGGCCCAATTTTAAGGCACGAGCTTAGTGCCGCTAGTTTGTCACCATCTTGGCTGTTCCCCAAGCATTTCGTTTAAATTTGGCTCACATTTCTTCTGCCATGTTGGCAATGACCATGAAACATTTTCATATTCTAAAAGATATTCCATTCCATTCCACACAACACTCTAACATTCTGTTGAATTTACAGAAACCATATTTGTATCCCACAAGCCTTTGCTCTTTTACTATTTATAGATGTACTGTTCTACGCTGACTAAAGTTTGATTTTGAAAAAAGTTGGTTAATGGCTTAAACAAAAAATATTGCATTCTTAAGAGTCATTTGCAAAAACCACCTTGTGATTTATGACTTTCTGGCCTGTATTACTGGCTTTAGCTCCAACAGCACATGGACCAGCTTGCATCACAGCAGGTATAATAGACAAATGTTCTGTATTTCTGCAGTACTCTTGTGAATAATAAAACAGCCATTGTTGATGAGAAAGATTCCTTCCCCAAATTCATTTCTTTATATGCTGTATCAATATAGAAATATCAACTATAGTAGCGTCAGAAGCCCTGACATGAATGCACTTGTTAATTCCTCTGTGATCTCTTGCTTACTGAACCTTCACAAACAACATTTCTTATCCTTGGGTTCATCCATTGTTTTCCCATCATTCCATTCTTTGTCTGTTAGTCACGGCACAATGGAAGCAGCTAATACACGACTCAAGGATCAATGTTTCATTCAATGTTCCACCTCACCATGCTTAGCAGATTCAAAAGAAGGGTATAAAACATGAGAGCTAGAGAAAAATGGGCAGGAGTAACAAATGAAAGAAAAAAAGCAAATAGCTACCTTCAGAAGAGAGAATGGATTTGGTCTGATCTTTGAATTCAAGCAAGGTTTCTTTGTCACTTGGAATAAGAGAAGAATAACAGTAATGCCACTTATAAAAAAACAAAAGGGACATTGATTTGGGAAGGGGAAGTGGATATGCATTGACAGGTTTATCATCTAACCCTGCTGAATGTAGCTGTTTTTGACTCCTTGCTCTCTCCTTTGATCCCACACTGCCACCAAGTAACTTTCCTTCCTTACAGTATCGCAAAATTATGATTCTTAATTTCTATCCCCTGAACAAACACTATGACCCACTCCATTCATTTCCCAAATAGACTACTGTACTTTTCTTGCTTCTAGTTTTTCTTATTTCCCCATGGGCTCTTTATATAGCATTCTGCTGCAAAAATCATTAATGTTTCTCATGACTCTGATCATGTGATGCCCATCCTTAAATCTTTATATTGTCTTCTTATCCACTCCCAGAACCAATGAAAGGCCTTTGCCCCATCCTTCATTGCCATCTGTGGTGTATCTCTTTGCTCATAAATCCAGATACAGTCCTGACCAATAGTATGCAGGGCCATGCTCTTTTCCTTTTTATCTGTCTGTCACACCTCTCTCTCTCCTTCTCTCCCTCTCCCTCATTCTCTCCTACTCCCTCTTCCTTATCATGTGGGGCTTCCTGGGAAGAAATGATTTGCCTTCGTCAGAAATTAGAACTGATGTGGCTTTAGAAAGAAGACTAAGGACTTAGATAATCAATGTCCAAAAGTCTTTGTACAGCCACATGCCCAAATGGACACACACAGACATGCATATTCAAAAGGTCATTGTAAGTCACTGTGCAAGCAAAATCAGAGAGACTGAACACTGAGACTCAACATCTGCACTTCAGAAAAAATGTATTGCAGATTTAATTAGCTCCTGCTGCTACTGCTCTGTGCACTAATTTCTGTTTTGCAGCTTTTTTCAGCAAATGGGGAAGAGAAGAAGTATTTGTATTCTCTCTTGAAATATATATGGTATTTAACAGAACCTGAGTTTTGAATGAATATTTTAAAAGTAATATTTTAGGACTAGATATTTCACTGAAATGTTTTAATAGATACAATATTATGAACAGAAGATAGCTAGCCTTTCTTTTATTTTCATTACTAGATATCTTTTCATTATTTGCATGGATCTTTATGGCTGTAAGTGTATTTTCTAGTATTTTTAACAACAGGATTATAACAGAATACAATGTGAGCAAGAAGGCTAAGTAGTTCTGAACAAATTATTATTTAAATCATTTTTTTTTTTTTTGGTCTGCGCTCAGTCATTGCTGACCCTGCAGTGAC